TTTTGGAGCTGATTTAATCCCCAGTAGAGTCTGTTTAAACTGAACGCTTGCTTTGGGATCAGACTCGCTCTTGATGTAGTCCAAAATTTTTTGACCTTCGACAAGATTGAAAAAAGCTGATGGAAATCTGCTTTCGGTTAAGAACTCTAAATCAGTGTTGTTTGTTATGAAGAACCCACCAATGACTTTTGCATTACCCACAGTGTAAAATTGTTCATTCAGCTTATCAATAGTTTCGAGACACACAACAATCTTGTTCCCTATTTTCTTCAATTCCTTCTCACTTTCGCAATCCACGAATGCAATTGGGAATGCATCAGATGAAGAAAAGTTTCCTGGGTAGAGAGACAAACCCCCAACAGAGGTTCCATTTCCAAGTGTCAAATTGGCCCCGAATTCGCGATCAACTGTTCCAGCAGCAACATTGAGGACCCAAGGTGTTCCATTGTGCAGAGTTCCAATGTATGGACCCTCATTTCCTGATGAGGTGGAAACAAATATTCCCTTTTCCATGGCTGCAAACGAAGCTATGGCAATGGGATCTGCATGTAGAGGAAGGCCATCTATTCCCAATGATAAGGACAATACATCCACCCATCCATGATTGCCTGATCAATTGCAGCCAGAATGTCAGATAAATAAACACCTTCGTCCCACAAGGCCTTGTACATGGCAATTTGAGCATTAGGAGCCATGCCTCGTGAAGTCCCTGAGGCATAGCCAAAGAATGATGCTGCCTCAACAAAATTCCCAGTAGCTGTTGATGTAGTGTGAGTCGCATGCCCGTCCGTATCTCGTGCAGAATTCATGGCGATGGTCAAGTTGGGGAATTTTGCAAGTAGGCCTTTATTGAAGTATCTTGCTCCAATAAGCTTTTTGTTGCACATGGAGGAATTAAACTGAGTGCCACTTTCACATTTCCCTTTCCATCTCAATGGAATTTCAGTCATTCCATCGTCTCTATAGCTTTTACTCTCGGGCCAAACTCTGGTATCCACCACCCCAATTATGACATCTTTTCCATAGTCTGAATCTGGCCATGCCCCTTGGTTAGAATTCAGGCCGAGAAATTGATACGAATGAGTGGTGTCAACTTTGACACTTGTATCTTTAACTGAAGAAACATAACCCGGGGAATTTCTCAAAGATTCAAGCTCAGAAGGTGAGAGAGTTGCACTAAAACCATTCATAACATTAGTGTAAGCATAGACAAGTTTAGAAGACGACACGAAATCTGTACTGGTTTCGATACTATTTGATATGGAGGCAAGAGTGGTCAAGTACCAGTTATGGTGGCTAGAAAAGGCTTTGGGCATTGATGATAAATCCATATGGACAATATAAGTGTCTGATTCAGCCAAAATTTGCACAAAATATGGAAATGTGAGACAGAGGAAAAACAAATGCAAAGAGACATGAATTGCCATTTTTCAGCAAAGAAATGGGATATTCTTTAAACTAAAGCCAGTTTACATATATATCGAAGAAAAGGGTATGGAGCTCCAAAGTTGATCCTTACTCCACCTTCTCAATTACTTGGTCCATAATATGGTATATAGACCACCACCCCACCCCACTCCTACCCCAAGAAGGGACCTCTCCATTTTTTGCCCATTAAGTTGAAAACGTGCTCAAGTTCATGGCAAGAAGCAATCGAACCCTGTTTTGATCGAATTGGTGAAGACCCAATAGTGGAATAGCAGTACCAGGTGAGAAGGAGTCGATTCCAGGTGGTCCC